TAGGATTTTGTAGCCCCCGGCTTGCTCTTTTGAATGGTGAAAACCGCAGCTCGATAACTCAAAGTAATCAAAAGTTATTCAGAAAATGGTCGTTAATACTTTAAAAAAAATCCGACATTAAGTATGGTACACTACCAAAAAAAAAAGAATTTATTGACTACATAACAGAGATAATGGGAACACAATCACAAACTCATAAGGAATTCTGGATGAAATATTGGGTGAGTGCATGTCGAAGATCGATACCTTCTGTTGTTGTTGCATTACAGCCAGGCTTTTTATAAATAGTTTCAGAAACATCCCACTCAATTTCTGAAAGATCTTCACTAATAATACACAAATTATGTAAAACTACAGTTGCTTTTATGACATTGATGGTATTATCCAGATCGAACTCCATCTTTTTGTGCAAAATGCGAAACCTATTTTTTAGCAAACCAAATGCTCGTTCCACAGAACACCTGCATCGACTTAGCCGGTAATTAAATGCAGCATATTCCCTTGGCATATCTGGACGAAGTGGATAAGGTTTCATCAGAGTTCGATCTAATGCAAAAGCCGAGTCAGCAATCAAATGAGCCTGAACATTTGCATTATTAACCATAATGTAATGATTCCTATAGATTGTATTTTGAATGACTTCAGATAAAGTGGACCTAGCATATACTGAAGCATTATTACATCGTCCTGGTGCACCCACATTAACATAGGTAAGTTGAAGATTCGAATCTACAACTGCAAGCATCACAATTGAATGAAACTTCTTGTAGTTGTAATAATCCGATTCTAAACCTAATGGTGGTTTGATACTGATATGAGTTCCATCTAATGCACCAAGACACATTAGATAGTTATATTTGTCAAGAAACCCATTGACCGTATTCTTTATCTCTTCATCAGTTGCTGGAAATTTAATAATTCGATAGAAGAATACTTCAATAATAATACCACAAAATTCATGCAAAATCTTGCCCACTGTACTCTTCCCTATCCCAAATAAATTTCCAATTGTTCTTAATTCCGATGAAGAGCCGAGACAATATAATGCACAACAAATTCTCTTCTCCACCGATATTGTTAACCGAAATTTTGTATCATCTTTTTTCAGCAAAGGCACAATATGGTTAACTAAGAATAAAAATGTAGAACGTTCCAAACGAAAATTTTCTTTGAATTTCCTGTCATTCATTTTTGAAACAATCTCTGTCCACCAATGATCGCTTTTATTATAAGGCCAGACCAGACGATGACTGCTTTCAAATGAATTATCAAGAAGCATTAATAAGACGAGCACCAACTGGTTCCTAAGATTTGAATAACGAGCAGACTTCCTTATAAGACGTAGACATTCAACATGAATTTTGTTAATCTCATTATTAATTTTTTTTCTTTTATTTAGATGCAAATGCAACAAAGCCAAAATTGATCTTTCATCCATCTAGAGATCAAAACAACTTCTGAATGCTATCTAGTACGAACATCGTGCTACTCAAACGATATGTTTTCCGTACAACAGTCGATGCAATTTTCTCATAGTTAACAGAACCCACAGGAAAAAATAATTTCAGTTATTCACTTTATCAATTTTTATTTTAGTATTAATAAACAAGTAACGCTCATCGAACGATTCGCTCACCCTTTTCTGAAAGAAACTCTTTCCATCAAAAGCTGAAATTTCAGTCGTTGATCGATTATATCAATAATCTACCCATGTGAAAATTTTTGC